AACTAGCATCTGAAGTTACAGTTATTTTATGTGAAGGACTCGAAAAGAAGACTGCATGTGAGTCAACATACCAATATGCCTGTCACTGCACAGGCAACTCCCAAGGGCATGTCTTCCACAAGTTTATTAGGAAACAATTGCGTAACATTAGCTTCGATTAGACAGCTTGTACGTTGGTTGGCTTGACAGAAAGACAAATGATAGACAGATCAACAAACATATCGGTCAGATTTGCGCGTTGGTTGGCTTAACAGACAGACAATTGGTAAACAGAATGATCAAATATCACCCAGCCTTGTGCGGTGCGTTGGTTGGCTTGACAGACAGACAATTGGTAAACAGACTGATCAAATATCATCCAGCCTTGTGCGGTGCGTTGGTTGGCTTGACAGACAGACAGATAAATGGTAGCCAGATTAACAAACATATCGATCACTCATTAACCGAATGGAAAGACTTGACTGTGGTAGTTGAACGTTTACTTTATTTCATGACTTCCTTAAACTTATAGGTTATCATCCATAGTAGTTGAAATGTTACCAAACACTAAAGTAAAAATTTGTGACTTGATTACATACCCAAGGTAACTGTTTGTTTTCATCGCTGAGCACCAATAGGGGAAAAATATCAAACTCAACAAAATAATGTTAACTGCTTTTCACAGCAAAAGTTTTGTAAACTTTCATTTTAAATTGTTAACTAAATTTATGTAGCCCAAATATTTTTTATTGATCGTAACTAATATTTTGTTAGTATTTAACACTTGAAGGCTGAACAAAAACTTCATTCACATGAGTTCTTCGAGAGGTTCTAATGAAGATAATCTTCAGTAACGCACAATTCATTTTTGTCGTCATATAATAGTGAAATGACAAAAGAATAAAGATTACTTAGAAAAAATTATACTTAGATATAAGGAGTACTTCCTAGAAACGAGAATTATCTTTAAGTTATTATTGATTTAACAAACAAATCGTTGTAAATATCATTAATGCTGAGTTCGAGCAAAATGTAACGAAGCTTTAAGATTAGTCGACACGTTTAGTACGCTTCCAATTTCGTACTTTTGTGTGTGAAGTTTCTTTCGAAGAAAAGGAACAATAAATGATATCATGTATAAGAGAACCAGTAGTTTAAGTTCTAGAACGTCCTCTTCTGCTATCATGCTAAGGTATAATCCAAAATCTGTTTCTAAATGTGTTGTATAAAGAACATGATTACTGATAGCTCTGCTTGCTAAGAGCGCCATTAACGATTCCTAGAATAGAAAATAATATTGGTTTCTGCTGGAGAGTTTTTATTTTAATGGAATCTTAAAGTCGTATTACATATATTATCCCTGTCAATACGCAGTTTTGTAGAGAAATAAGTAGCATAATTTCTCACAATCCCGATATTAAGACACGATGTTATCGAAAAAAAGCAAGGTTTTTAAAAGGCAAGTACTAATCCAATCAAAACTCTAGGTGCTTTGTTAGATCTGTTTCACGTGATCAAACATTTGACAACATATGTCTTTCATCTCATTTCTGTTAGTTTGTACAATAAAATAAGGTAACCTTTCTCATCGAGAATGCACACACACACACACAAAATGTTCCTATGAGATTTTAAAGAATCAAATCATTATTGACAAAAACGTATTTTTTAAAGTGATATACATTTGTTCTTTTCAAAACAAATACAAACTTAGACAAATGAAACACGCAGATGACTTGATACTATTTATGATTTTAATCATGCTTCTGGGTGAAATAAAAAGAATAAGTTATAGAATTTGCTTCTAGAAGACTATGAAAGGCTTAATGTGGACTGAAATTAAGTCTGAATCTCGACGAGAAAAAATTCTCACTAGAGTTCTATATGTTGATATGCTTTATGCTTTGAACTTAAATATTTCGGAATTGATAAATACTCAGTGACTTACAGGATTACTGAGAAATACAAGTTGTTGACTTATTAAAGAAATATAAGTAATTCAATTATTAGAAACTTACATTTTCCAAATTCCTAATTCGCCATAGAACAACGTGCTGAGTGTCACTTCTAGGTTTTGTTTATTGTTACAAAGTTACACAAAGGACTATCTGCATTGTGTCCAGATGTTAACGTTACAAGCCTCTAACAAAAGAAACCACTACTTCTATCAAAATAACAGTCGAGGAGAGAGAAAGAGGTAAAACTGCACATGACCCTTCCAGATCTACAAGACCTAAAGCCCGATGCCGACAAGATAGTCTCTAGTTTAGACTCCTACATAATTCGCTAAATTATTTCGCGAAAAATTGGCCAAAAAATTACATGTGTGAATTAGATCGCTATTGCATACATGATGGGGATGGCCCTAAGTTCCTCTCACCAGTTATTATATTGTTACGCCTCTGTTCGTTTGT